AATATTCTTCCTCGCTACATAAAGAAATATAATCTCATACAGCTATTTGTCATTTTAGATAGGATGAATGAAGGGTTTTTGTCAAGCTTTTAAGTAAAGACAGAGGTTCCCCGACATAAGTTCCCACAGTTAATAATGGTCACAAACTGCGGAAGGCCATATTTCACTTTCAGATGAGAGCTCCTTTGAGCATATGGTGAGCACATTGCTGAACTGTGACTAAAGCATTTGGATACATCAGAGGGCAAGGCTTCTGGGAGACAGAAACCAGTCCCATTGGTGCACGCTGAGCGAGCAGTAGCCAAGACAGTTCACTTTGCAACGTCACTCTCTTTGTTGCCATTGCTTCCATTATGCTATAGCCATGCTGATTTCCAAGAGCTATTTCCTGGACCTTAGTAACTTATTACTGAGTTAACGATATTTTTTGCAATGTGCAAGTCATGATGGCCTGATCTGGCCAGCGATGGGAACGAGTGACTAGTCCGAGAGTTAGCTGTGTTAAGATGTTCTGGTTTTGAAAAGGGTAGAAGTGAGCGTGAGTAAGGACAGTAGAGAGTCAGTGCTCCTGATACAGGGATCTAAACGTGTATTTGTTCAGCAAAGATAGCATTTGAGCCTGGCTGAGTGTGAGGGCTGTTCCTGTAGAGAAATGGGGGTAGATGAGTGACCATGTGTAAAATCACTGAAACATTAGCTGGTTTGCGGAGCAGCCTCTGAAGAGGTTGAGGAGTTGTATGCTTCGATGGAAGGTGGGTGATGAGGCTAGGGAAAGGTGGGTTGCAGTTCATTTCTAACAGGCTTGGAAAGCTAAGGAGTGCCAACTGTTCCTAGCTGTGGGCTCCATCCAAGAGTCTCCATTTCGAGAGCAATATAATTGAACTTTTCTTAAAAATGGCCCAAGGTAAAGGTAAGACTGCTTCACCTTACCTTATTTACCACCTTAAATGTGATTGACCCATATTCTTTGATTCATACAATAAGCTTGTGTTGTTGGATACATTTACCAACTTTTTCACCAAGAAAATAGTCTCATAGACCTTAAGCCATTTTATTACGTTTATACTAGTATTGAGAGTTAAAAGAAGCCTACATCTAATTTGTAGATTAGGAAAGCACTCCAAAGACTCTCAGAAGAAGCACTTCCTTTCTAAGTTATGAGTTAGTTCTGTCAGGATCAGACTCAATAGATGGTTTCTGATAATACAATTATGCTATTTAAAACTTTATAAATTGAAATGAACAGCAATGGCAGTTTACAGCAGAAGAACTTAAATGGCCAGGAGCAAATTATTATTTTAACATGTACCTCTCTGTGAAATGAGAGAGTTCAGACTGCAGTGCAACATGTAGACATGCATGGCATTTCCCTTGCCGTGTGGGACAGCTGCTCCATGACCTGTGAGTGGAAGAGGTTTCAGCATTCCCTTACGTCATATACGCACATAGATTACATAGTAAGCCATCTGGGGCAGAATTCACTGGGTTAGAATGCAGGACTTTTACAATGAATGAATGAATGAATAAATAAATAAATAAATAAATAAATAAATAATAAATAAATGGCTTTGTTTTCATTCACACGCTCTGACTTTTAAATGCATTTAGAAATTCATATGATCAGCTAATATCTTATTCTAAGAGACAAAGAAAAGTACTAACTAGTGTAAGCGCATGTTCAAAAGTACTAATATGTATAAACACTAGAAACCTGGGGCCAGAGGCTTCTCTCCTCCTCTAAATTCTTCTGCTAGATGTTCCTTTAACACAGCAGGTAAAATAAGGTCATGGGCACTGTACAGCTTGGGAAGAGAACACAGGAGGTTTCAGGTTAGGCTAAGTAAGCCCTTTTGCCCATCTGGACTTTTTAGCCTTTTTCTCTATTTTGGCAGTGTTTTCTGTAAGAACCATGAACAGGAATTAGCTCCAGATGTTTTTAGCTTATTTCCTGGTTCCTGGTGAGAGGACATGCTCTTCCATCCCCTTTTTCTCATGGTTCTTAAAGATCTAGCTAGTATTTGCAGAACTCACATTCAAAGTCAGATTTACCCAAACACTAACTAACCTTTATGCTCTTCCCTGTCAGTTCCCTGCCACAAATACTTCTATGCAAATGCAGTATAGTTGCCATCTGACCTGTAGCCATTCTTACCAATTGTCCCCTTTCAAGGAAATTCAATGAAACTATACTTTATTTCCAGTAATGATACCACAAGAAAGGAAAAGTATAGACGAATTTTTCAGATGAACAAAGGTTGAAAAATTCAGGAACATATAAAGAAAATCACGCATCTTGACCAATTGGGCTTGATCATGGAATTACAAAGAATGATTTAACATATGTAAATCAATAAATGTAGCATAGGATATAAATGAATATATATATAAAATCACAGAATATTACTACTGATGTTGAAAAGGAATTTGACAACATTTAACATGCCTTCATGATGGAAGTTCTATAGACATTAGGAATAGACTCAGTATACCTGAAAACAGTAAAGACTATGTTTTATGCAACAAACCTACACCAACACTACAGTAGATGGTGACAAACTGAGCGTTTCCTCTGCAATCAGGAATGAGACAGACGAGGATGTGCACTCTCCTCTTCCATATTCATATTGTGCTCAAAAACTTAGCTCTAACAGTTAGAGAAAGACACAAAGGAATAAAATAATAAAGGAAAATTAGTACTGTCATTATTTGCAGATGACATCATTCTTGATTTAAAAGACCCTATAGAATCTACTAGAAAACTCTTGAGCTCTAATAAACACTTAGTAATTGAGGACTCAAAATATAAAGAAAAATAGCTTTCATGTTTGCCAGTAGTAAATTCTCTCAGAGGAAGAAATTAGGAAAAATGTTCATATTAGTCCATATATATATGTATATATGTTCATATATAAATATATACACATATACAATGTCAAACATAATATTTGTATATGTATATGTGTATACTATTATACATATATTATGTCAAGCACACACATACACATATATATGTAATATAGGTATATATGTACAGTAGATAGGAATTCACCTATCTAGAGAGGTTCAAGATATCGACAATGAAAACGTCAAGACATTTGAAAATGGAAATCAAAGAAGACCATAAATGATGAAAAGGCCTTTTATTCTCCTGAATTGGAAGAATTAATATCATGAAAATGGCTATAATGCCAAAATTAGTCCACAGATTTCAGTGTAATACCTATTAAAATCCTGATGTCATATTTCCAAGATCTACAAAAAGCAATTCAATAATTCATAAACTGTTACTAATAATTATTTTTTCAGTCTAAAATTTTTTAGAGCTAAGATTAACAATGACATTATTTATTTATTTTTAGAATAAGATCAACAATTTTGTGTTTGAGGCTTACTTGCAATGCTAATTTTATAATATAGATTCTAGGCTAGGATTCTATAGATGCCAGAGTAGGATTCAGCTCACTAGGTTCACTGTAGTAGCTTTGTCTTTATGTTGAGGAATAGAGAAATTGCTGTCTTTTTTATAGTGTGTTTAATATGTGTGAAAGGATATTGGAATGCGTCTAACTTGTGAAATGTAACTGAAAGAACACAGATAAAGCTGTCTAGAATGACTTAATAAATAGGAACTTCCGGCACTCTTGAAACTTTCTGGATTCTTTCACTCATTACCCACCATTGTACTGATAAAAGACTGTGACCAAAAGCAACGAGGGAATGAAAGAGTTTATTTTGCTTACAGTCCCAGGTGACAGTCCTTCACTGATGGAAGTCAGGACAGGAACCTAGAGGCAAGAATAACTGAGTAGGTCTGCCTGCTGACCCACTCTCTGGTTCGTTCATTAGTTCTCTTATGCAGCCAAGGTCATCTTATAAGGGTATGATACTGCCTATAGTGGGCTGGGCCCTAGTACGTGAAATAACAAACATCCCTTTTTTAGGTATGTCCCCAGTTCTTCTAGTGCCCCCCACTCACCCAACCTCTAAAAATCTCAATTGCTTCCAATTATGCCAAGTGGGATACCTAACCTTCTAGTACACAGAACCTTGAAGGACACTCAAAATAAAATCTTTTCTTTTTTGTAGTACTGGCAATAATATTTTCTGTCTTTATACTAAATCTGTAAGAAAAAAAAAACCCATAACTTTCCTTTTCATTTGGAAAAAAACAAGTGACTGAGATACTGACCCAATAACCACATTCAATCTTACAATTGATTATGCTGTGTCTTATGTATTTGGGAGAGTTATGCACACACAGGGCCAGGGCTTAACAACAACAGCCAGTTAAAGTTGGTGATTATCAGCATGACATATGCACATAACCTATGATGCCGTATGCACAGCCTAGTTGGCTTGGCCACAGGATGGGCTAACAACTCTAGTAAAGAGGATCTTTGATTACTAATTAAGATTTGGATAAAACCAATGCAATCAGCTTCCTTAACATTGTGTTTAAAAAGTCAATGTGCATGTTTGTACATGTGTGTACATTTTCTGTGTGTGAATGTGTGTGCATGTTTGTCTGGGTCTGCATGTGTATGTGCACATGTATGTGTATGCATGTGCATGCATGCATGTGTATGCATGTGTCTTTACATCTCCATTAAACAGTTTGGTAGGCAGAAAGAGGCAGAGTGCTCATTCACTAGGATGGATGAGTCTCCTATTCTGAAATATTCCGTATGCAGTGAGTGCTTGGCTTGCTTTATCGGAGTCAGTCTTATCAGACTCATCGAGCTGAGCTTTGAAAACAAGTGCCCTTCTGTGTACAGCCCGGTTTCCTACAGTAGGCAGATTCATTAGCATGAGGGTTTATTCACTACATGTATAAACCACACAATTTTACTTATGTATAGTACTTAACCAGGCATGAATAAAACATTTTGCTATTTGGATTTTCTAATTTTTTTTTACTCTGTTTATGACATAATTCACAAGATTAGTTGCTTTTATTGTGTTAGTTTTATTAAAATGGCTTTATTTTTATTATTATTTAGGATGGACGTTTGAAACCAGGAGATCAACTTGTCTCAATAAACAAGGAATCTATGATTGGCGTATCATTTGAAGAAGCAAAAAACATAATTACCAGAGTCAAGTTGAGGTAACAATTCCATCCATATGATAGGATGAGTCATTTAGCGTATTTATATCTAAAGATAGTGATTAGGATATCTTAAAGGTTTTCACTCTACTAGAAACACTGCCTTTGAATTTAGTTGACTGCATTTGTTGCATATCCACAAAGTAATCTCTTTAAATCGTAGGTCAGAATCGACTTGGGAGATAGCATTTATCAGACAAAAACCTTACTGTGGCCATCCAGGAAATATTTGCTGTCCATCCCCACAAATGTCAGAAGACTATGGACCTCAAACCTCAACATTTAATCTTCTTTCCTCTCCCCCTGAAACACCAGTTCCAAAGACTTCATCCACTCCCAAGATTCAGGACTCCATTTTACCTTCCTGTAAAGCAATGCAGGTAATCTTAAATTCTGGTTTATGTATTCAGTCCATAAATCTCTTACATTGTCTGTGTTAGTTAAGTCAACATAGAATTGTAATTTCATTAACAATGCTTATTCATAAGTTAGTATTTCCTTGAAAGACTTTTACTTTTTAGATTTTTATCATGTAAAACAGGTTTTCAAGCTAATGTACCTTTTCTTTAAAACTTAGTAAACATCAACATATAACAACATGGTACATAAAGATACAACTAGACATCATTAAGTCTCCAGCTATCTGTTTCTACCTAATAAAAGCTACGTACTCGTGTGTGTGTGTGTGTGTGTGTGTGTGTGTGTGTGTCTGTGTGCGTGCGTGCACACGCGCATGCACAGGTGTGCGTTCAGTCCTTAGTTTCCTTAGTTTCTTCCTTTCATACTGAGACTAATCCTGATCACCCTATCTATGGATAGTGTGTGTTCCCCTCACCCTCTCATGTATGTCTTATGAAATAGTTTCCCCTTCTTAATTCCAAAAAAAAAATGAAGACTTTATTATATACAAAGTAATGTATTTGCTTTAAACTGCTACCTCACAATTTTAAGCTAGAGTCTAAATTCTTAAAATCTGTGTTAGGAATAAAAAACAAGACGCAGGTAGGCTTTCTTTCAATAGGATAAGTTCCTTAAGGGTAACTTCTGTTCAAGGTATATTGTGATCAGAGAGATTGTTTTCTGTCAGCTGGTTCTTTTATAAGGCAAGGGGCATGGCCTTCTTTTCTGTTATCCTTAAACACAGTAGAGCTAAAAGCATTGTTACTTTCAACTCTGAAATGCTTTCTTTGAAGATGAATACAGTGAATATTAGGAACTTCATATTTTTTGGAATATTGCTTTGATCTTTTTAACCATTCTATTTATGTTAACATGAGCATCTAGTTTGTACTTTGACCTACTTTAGAAAATTACATAACATCTTTCTCATTTTTTTTTTCACAGACAAAACCTGAACACAATAAAACAGAACATACTCCAATTACTTCTTTGGACAACAGCCCTACAGATACATCTAATCCAGGTAAATTCACATTTAATTCCTGGTTTGTTTTTCAACTACTCTTTTTCAATGATGAATTAATACTATAACTTAATAGATCTCTTAAAGATGGTACATTTTGTCTTTTTTCTTTCAATGAATAAAAGAGCAAAATGAATGTATTGTTTGGTGGTTTCTTCTAAATCTTAACTTTTGCCAGAACTTTCTTTGAGCAAAGGGTTGAAATTTTAAAAAGTACATTATAATAATGTCTCTGAAACCATAATAATTAACAAATTGTTTAATCAAGTAAGGAAATCAAGTAAAGGAAGTCAAGATATGAATTCTTTCCTCTTTACTGAAGTACTGATGGCATTTACAACTATATCTTTGAAAACATAGTACAGATGGAACAGAACTTAAGAAAAAATGTTCATTTGTTTTGAAAGATACTGTATGGATATAAATTAGAAAAGGACATCCATCCTGCCTTTGATATTATTTTTGAATTACCCTAAAATGACCTAGTGATTTAAAAATAATCAAATCAAAATGATCTAAACTATACACAGAAAAGGATTTTTATCAAGCCATAAAGTTTTTATTGATTAAAATATACAGAAAAATAATACCTCTACTGAAATTATCTCCAAAAGTTAGACATTTTAGAAATTGTATTTAACGTTAACTAAAGGGTAACTACAATTCAAATTGCAACCCACGTGTATTAATTTTTAATACCATTAATTTTGCTAAGGATTACAAAATAAAAAGAACTGGTTTGGATTAAGTAGCTACTAGACATGAACAAGTGGTATAGCTCATTGATAGAGCATACACTTACCAGGCATGAGGCCTGTATTCAGACCCCGGCATCAAAAACCCTACAACTTAACAGCAGTTTATGCTGCATTCATCTTGTTCCCTCTGATTGGGAGAAGTATTTTCTAGTAGGTTAGTAATTTTTTAGTCAAAATTATACATCTTTTAATTACTGAGATTTAGTGATTCTTGGAAATACTATTAATTAGTATTTCGTTCATATAATTAACATCCAGTCTCTTGATAGACTGTTTTTATTTTAAATTGGGAGCTCACATGGAAAGAAAAAGACATGAGTCAAGCAGTAGTCTAAGATGCGGTGTCAGAGTTGCTCCATGATGAAAGTCGGGGTCCTTGATTATGTTGTGAATCATTAGTTACATAACATGTGTAATACATTTCCAGTTTTAAAGCAACCAAACTAAGTATTCCCCTTAGCCATTTATTTAGGGTACATTTGCTAAATGTTATCAAGTTAGCAACAAACACAGCACAGCAAGAAGTTGAGAGAGATTTAGGATCTTTCTGTGAGTTATTTAATATTATAGCAAAATAAATCATGATGTTAACATCCTCATTACTCAAATCAGAAAGCATGTAGATATACACGTAGTTTTCATAGATAAGCATACATGCCTATATTTTATAATGTGCACAAATAGTGTAAAGACATGTACAATGTCGACTAAGGGGAGAGGGAGCGAGGAACTATATTCAGTGGAAACAGCCATTGGTGTGCATGTGGTGCTGGAGAGCACAGGAGCAGGCTGGGAGTTTCTAATCCTTCACCCTGTTTTCTTAGCTCAGTAAGCCTGAGAAGGCTGCTTCAAGGGGAAGTTACAATTAAAGAACAGCTATCAAGCCCTTGGCATTATGATTGGTACATAGTGTATGCTCAGCTGTAGTTTTATTATTAATCATATTACAGAATTTAAGCTAGCATATATTTCTGATAACACTCCAGCACAAGAGCCTGGACTGTGAGCAGAAATGAGTGCTTCTTCCATGGGTGTCAATTCTGTGGCCTCCTTCAACCTGCAATAGGAACAAAGGACTCCAGTATGCAAAGGACAGTTAAGAAACATCAGCCTCTCAAAAATGAGACGTGCTCCAAGTCTTAAAGGAAGCAGGCAGAAAACCATCCTAATTCAAGGAAGGGCCATGAGCTGAGCCAGAGCACAGAGCTTAGATAAGTGAGGTGCCAGAAACCCCACACAGCAGGTCTGATGACAGCAGAGATCTTATATATTAGTAAGTAAAAGGTTGTACCAGCGATTAGAAGAAAATAGCCTTGATTTTAGAATAGGAAAATAACTATTGAAAAATATATTTGAGTAAGTCATTTATAAAATTAAAATATTAAAATATTAACAGAATATTTTTCTAGGATAGAAATAGCATTAACTCAAACCCACTTTTTATTTCTACATACATATAGTGGGCCAGATATTACTGAATGAAGTATTATACAGGAAGGGAGGTGGCAAACCCTCACAGTTGTCTCTAGACAACTGACACATGCTAGGATTTCCCCATATTAATAAGCCTCTTAAGTATCACCTTCTAGACACCTTTAATCAGTCAGTATTTACAAGTTAGTTTTCTCATTAGTGTCACCTGACAAAGGCAGTTTAGGGGAGGAGATATTATTTGGGTTCACAATTTCAGAGAGAACAGCGAGTCCATTATGCTGGGAAAGGAGGGAAAGGAATGACTAAGCAACTCTGACTGTGGGAGCCTATGACGAAGCTTTTCACGTAGTTACTGTACCAGGCTACAGATTAGACTGAAAAGAGAAGTAAGTATAAACCATCAAAGATCCAGCTGACTTACCTCATCCACAGGCTCAGTCCCACATCCCATAGTTTCCATAATTTTGTAACCTTCCCCCAATACCAGCAACTATGGACCTAGTGTTTAAATTATGAGCCAATTGGGATAGTTCACATCAAATTATTGCAATATTTACTTTTAAAATGTAAACATGTTTTAATATTAACTTCAATTACAATAAACATAAGATGGCTCTACTCTTTCCAATTTATTTGCAAGTGTAAAATTGGTTTGAATTTTTAAGATCAGCATGAATATATTTTAAAATTATCTGTCCATGATGTAAATTTAATCTGAGAACTCAGAACTGCTTACTGCAGCAGTAGGGTGAATAATATAGGAGTTTATGAGCGAACTGTAACTAAAAGCTCTTCCTGAGGGACTAAGAAATGGTGTTATTATGTTACCGGTGTGACAAGACTTAATTCCTTTGCACTCAGTCGTTTTAAACTAAAACAGTGCCTATGGGAAAAGTACCTTCCAAGGCTTCATGGGATTAATTTTACGGTGTTGATCATACTCTGACAAAGCCGTTCCTTTCTTCTCATTCTAAAAAGAAGAGAAATAGAGGATCCAAGAATGATAAAGTCTTTCCCCGAAAAAGGAGCAAATGGGAGGTTGAGGCAGGGAGGGGGGCACTAGCAATTGAGGTAGAGTCTTTATGACTTTAACAACTCTGAGTTGTCAGCATGAGCTGGTGTTGTGTGCACTCACTCTTAAAGAATTAACCTGAAGGGTCAGCATGTAGAGAAAGGCAGGCTCAAGAAAACACTCTTTGTCAAGGCCCAGTGCATGCTCTTAAGCTGAGGGTTGGGGTAGTTTTGCATCACTTTCTTGTTCTTCTTCACAGTGTCTCCTTTTTGGTTTTTGTCTTTGTTTTTGCACAATTTTACTGATTTTTGCCATTACAGTCGCTGTCAGATATTCTACTGTGATGAGAATTTGGTGATAAAAAAAGGGACTCAGAGCCACACTGGTTTCTGGAGTCACCGACTTGAGCCATAACATTGTCATCGCCTGGCTGTGCCACCGGAGCCAGTTCCTTTACTTTGTCACGCCCTGGTTTGAGGCATGAGAATAGTAATACTGATGTCATTTTTGTTATTATGAAGATTAATGAAACCAAATATAATTCATGCCCTCTCTGCCTATAGGTAAAAAATAGAGCTAACTTGTTATTTCTGCTTTTGGCTGCACCAAATTTTTTTGCTTAGCAGTAGGAAAACAGTAAAAATGTGTGCCTTGATGTGTGTGGTTGTCATGTGTCTCTGCTTCTCCTTTTCTGCTCATTGTTTTCATCTACAAACTTAAATTTGAGTTGAGTCATTCAGTCTTTCAGGCTGAAACCCCAGAAAGGGTAGCTTGTGTTCACCTGGGGTTAGTGATCCTTAATTTTAGGTCAGCCACTAACTTGAAAACGTGTCTGAAGATGAAACCTTGAAGTTGAAAAACAGAGTGTTCTTACCTGTCTTTGTTCTTCCATTCCATTTCATCCCATGGTGATCTTTTCTACCACAGCTGTAAGTTTGATATAGATTTTTCTCTAAGAGATAAAAATAGAGATATAATAGTTTTTAACCTCATGGACAACAATTAGATGTCATGATTACAAGAATCTTTCTTGCTATTACCAGAATTGTAAAAATTCTGTCACACTAAGATCAACCCTTCTTGAGGCTTAATTCCATTTGGAGCTAAAAGTCAGTGACAATTTTTTTATATATATATACTCTTAACACCTATAAGCTATATTAAAGGTTTTGCATAGAATGTTGAGGATGTGTTAAAGGTTTAGAGGAAGACTCTTTATTTTCATATGTGCTTCTTATGTTCTTAAGAAAGAGAATGCAAATCATTTTGTACTTAGAGACAGATGCTCTGAGAAATTAAAAAAAAATTAAAACACTGCATAAAGATGTGACATTTCAAAAAGTTTTTTCTCTTCCTCTTGTTTCTATGTAGAACTGGTAAAATACCATTTAAGAGTGTATTTAGAATAGTGACAATTTAGATAGGGAAGATTGACATAAATTGTAGAAATTTGTCTTTAAAACCATGGCATATTAAATTGTTTCTCAAGGGCTGGCCTCTGGTGGCACCTAACTTCACATTCCTGCAAACAGAAAAAAAAGTGTATCCCCCACACAATTAAGCGCATTGAAAACATATAGAGAGGTAAGTGCAGAGTGGATTTCCTTTAACTCTTAAAAGTCCATTTTTACTGCTACAAATTCAGTCCTTCTGTAAAATGGAACAGGATTTTTAGCTCAGAGAGTTACACATCCACATTGTCCTTTTATACATAAGCGTTAGAAGTTGCACTTAGAGTTTTTCTAGAACACTTCCACAGTTGCTGTAACAGTACTGTCTTTTCCAGTCAACGAAATACCATGGTCTTTGACTGTCCAATATGATTTTACTTGCTACAACAGAGAGGTGCTATCTTATAGTTACCAGGGCATTGTGATGAGGCTCACAATGGCTGGGTATCTGTCTTTAAGTTAATGTTTCCATGAGACTTCATAATGCAAAGTTGACTATGCTGCATATTATATCCTTCAAAGCTCAAGTAAAGCTGATTTACAGGGGAAAAATTCATAAAAACAAAAGTAAGACCTGCCAACTGTTTAACCAGAATTATCTTTGAACAGCAGGAGGCCAGAACACATCTTGTCAAATGAAAAGTTCTATTCCAATTAGATTTCCAGTTAATGTGCACCCTGTCGTCTCCTAGACATTGCTCCAGCCTGGACTGCTGATGCTTCTGGACCACAAGGGAAGATTTCCCTACATCCTTCTGTTCGCCTCAAGGCAGAGAAACTGGAAATGGTAAATCCCTTAAAATCATTTTCTTCACAAGACAGCAGGAAAGAACTGCCTTGTTCTTGGAGAGGAGGACGTTGTAGAATCATTGGTTTCTTGAAGTAGCTTATTTAATTAAGAGAGTGACAGTTTGGGTTGCAATTATTTAATAACATTTAGACTTGGAAGTTCATAGTACTTCACTAGTATAAAACAAATAAAGTCTTTGGTTACTAAACTGACATGTAAATTAGTTTCTTTCTCTTTGGCTAGAGTGATAGCTCAGTGGGTAACAGTGCTTGCCATGTAAACATGAGAAGCTTACATCAATCCTGCAGAACTGACATTTAAAAAGACAGATTCCTGTGAAAGCACTGATAGACATGTCCCTGGATCTCACTGGCCGGTTAGTTGTATTGGTAGGCTTCTATATATTGGTAGACTTGACACAAGCTGATGCTATCTTGGAAGAAGGAATTAACTGGAAAAGGAAAAAAAAATGCCTTCCCCAGGTTGGCTTGTAAGCAAGTTTGTAAGGCATTTTCTTGATTAAGGATTGATATGGGAGGGCCCAGCCTACAGTGGATACTGCCAACCCTAGGTAATTGGTCCTGGGTTGTATGAGAAAGCTGACCAAGCAAGCCATGGGCAGCAAGTCAGTAAGCAGCACCCTTCATAACCTCTGTTTCAGTTCCTGCTTTCAGCTTCTGTCTGGAATTCATGCCCTGACTTCCCTCAGTGATAGAGTGTGACTCGAGGGTTGTAAACTGGAATAAAGTCTTTCTTCCTGAGCTGCTTTTGGTCATGGTGTTTATAATAAATAGTAATAAAAACTGTAACTAAGACACTAACTTAACCTATTTGAGCCAGCTCTAAGCTAATGAGATATCCTGTCTCAAAAAACAGGATGGAAGGTGGTAAGCTTACTGAAGAATAACAGTTGATATTTTCCTCTGGTCTTCATCCAAAGATATATGTGTACCCCAGCACACACCCATACACACAAAGAAATATATGATATCTTAAAAACTGTCATCAAAATTATGACAAGGTACACTGGCCTTTATATACTGTAGCAGTAAGTGCAGTCAAGCAATATGCAGTATTGTTCATTGTTTTTAAATAAAGGATTACTAAATCATAAAGAACAAAGTAATCAGGTCCACATGAGATTGAAAGAGATTATGGCCGTACACTAAGGTACTAACAGATAATCCTAGGGTCCTGAGAGCATCACATCCAGAAACAGAAGATGCTTAAAACACAAAAACTAAAGGGGAAAGTACTTTAAATTTGATAAAGTTACCAATTAGCTGAGGTGATTGTACAACATCTGGATACAGTGTCAGAACTCAACCCTCTGTCTCCTCATGAGATTTATAGAGACGGACTTTCATGTTTATAGAAGAATATGAAATTACATAGCTAGAGTAAACACATTAGGATAAACACCATAATTATTCCTATCTTTCCTTAGTCCCAAGTAGTGCCAGTCTCATTAGCAATTGAAATCTTGCTGTTGTCTAAATGATGATCCAATCTACCTCTTTCCCAAGAATGATTTTCCTGACTATGATAGTTTGGGCAAATACTGCCATGTTTTACATATTTGTAGCACTAACTGTCATGTTGCACTGCTTTATACTCTTTTTCTGTGCCTGTTTTATGGATGAAATTGAGTATTTCTTCACCCATGGTACCTACCTACATAATCCACTTTTTGCCATATAGAAGAGAACATACATCTTTCTCATCTGTCACTAGTTTTCAGGAAGAAGCACCCATAACAAAAGACAGTTCAACAAGAGGAAACATTGAGTTTTGCTTCTCAGAGAAGCCTTCAGTAAAGAAAACCCAAATAAGCAGAGAACCTGTGTGCACTTAGGATTCATTTTAGAAGAGGGAGTGGCCAATGGCCAGTGTTGTACAAGAATAACTAGGCAATGGGGATATGATATGGCCTAATAGTAATAGAAGGGGGAACTTCAGAAGGCTGGCTCTGTTAACAGTGCACTATTAGAACAATCGTAAAAAGCATATAGGAAATGGAAAACAGACAGCATGGTAAGCTGTGATGAATTGTATATGCAGATAACTTTGAAACAACACTAAATAGAGTAGACCTTAATTTGTACAAAAATATGTAATAAGTGTAAGTATATACACAGACATCATATTCAGAGGAAAAATTTCTGGAATACTAGAATTGGTTGTAATAGTGATTATTCACAGAGTAGTGGTTCTCAAGGTCAGGAGTATACTTTTCCTCCATTGAAGGTATTTGGTAATGTCTACCATGCAGGAGTATACTTTTCCTCCATTGAAGATATTTGGTAGTGTCTACCATGCTGGTTTTCAGTAGTAAAAACCATATCCAGATTCCCATCCAGGACTAAAAGTTAGATCCTAAAACTCTATGTCCTAACATTTAAGGGTCTCTCTAACAACTTATGAGCCAATTTTTGCTAGCAAACATACAACATATGTCTCATTTTACTTGTAACTAGAGGAATTCAAATTAGCAACATTTCATTTCTAATAGCATGACAAAATGAAGAAGTGAAAACAACAAATTCTGTTAAGAATGTAGAAAGCTAGGATGGTTTATATGTTATGGCATATGTACATGAGTACATGTAGTTGAAGAACAATTCAGCAGTAGTAGAGTTGATAACATGTCATAACATAACATGTTAACTGTGACTCAGTTTCTCCGTCTATGTGCATATTCAGTAGAAGAATTTATGTGCATCTATTAAAGAAGATATGTGTAGTGCTTTATAGCAAAGAATGGTGAGGCAGTCATAAATGTCTATCAGATAATGGATGATAAATTGTATACCTGCTCAATGAAATATAAAATCAATGAACTACATGTGTAGGCAATACTGAACAACTCTAAAATCACTAAGATAAAATTAATCTGCAGTTATCCCTTTAGATTACACTATTTGTGTAACATTTTAAATGTACAAATGAAAATGTACATTATTTAGGATACATGTACTTAGATACTAAGTAACATTAAAAAATAGACAATAAGAATATAATGATTCTCTTCTGTGAAAAATAGAAGAAGCATTCAACTCATTCTATAGTCTCGTTTTTTAAAAATATGTGTAGACTTTAAACAAATATCATTGTGTGTTTATGATAGCCGGGAACTTAGATGTTCTTTGTATACTTTTTAAAAAAATATTTGTAACTTTTTCAAGATGAAAAGAGTACACATACACGAAAGCTACAAATCGTTCTTGAATGTTATGTAAAGACTAGTTACGGCTTTGATAGGATAGCAGAATGGTATTAGACCAACTTTAAACACACTTAAACCTCATCCCTGATACTCTCTGCCTTCTTCCTGATTCCTTTCACTGTTTGCTTCCAGTGTGCCCGTATGATAACAGCTGTGCTTTCCTCAAACTTGATGTTCTTACCATTAAGAAGCCCCGAAAGAAATAACCAGGAGAAGCACAGAGGCTCCGAGTATCCGAGAACCACATTCCAGCCTTTTGTAGACTGTCTGTCCCACAATCATTATTAAGTCCTGGTAGACTGTATCTCATCCTCATTATTAAGGTTCCCTGTAGACTATTCCACCTACATTGTTGAGGTTCCTTGTGAGTTCTCTTTCCTTTCACCCCTTTTACTAAGGCAAGGGGAAGAAGGGCTTGTTGTTCTCCTGATAGGAGACTTCCTGCGTGGCCTCCAGCACTTCCGAATTGACCAGCACATAGCCCCAAGACTTCATCAAGGGGCAAAGTGGGCTTCAAATGTCTTTTGGCTGAAAATCATGAGTGTTCTGTTTAAGGATAAAGAACATGGGAAGGACAATGGAATACAAGCAGGGGCATCTCCATTTCTGATTGAAAGGCAGAAGTGACTTCATCCAAAAAACAAAAAAGAGCCTGACAGAGAAATGAGTGTTAGGGAAAACTTTTCTTTATTTTCTGATTGTGTAAGTATAGTCTGAAACCAGCCAAAATTAAGAATATTTTTCATTTAACCCAAATTCTATCAATTTCACTTCTACTCTCAAGATAACAACCAAGTACTTTTCATGTTTCTTTTTTCTTTTTTCTTTTTTTTTCAGTGTTACGTATAAATTTGACTTCAGTAAATTTTTACCTGTTATTTTTCTTCTGCAATATCACATAGGCTAGAAATAATTTTTTTTCTGGTCCTATAGCCATGTTTGTAAATCTGGCACTAGCCAAGGTATTTGTCATGATAAGGATGACAAATCCTTGTTGGGGGCAAGTGGAAGACACAAGAATGTAATTTTTTATAGGTAGTTAATCTATAGTTAACAGACTTTCCACGGAATCTAATTCTGGTCACAGTTCCCCATGTTGATTTTGTTTTCTACTGCATTGTAAAATATAGTTGTTGTGAAAAGTTTTACCCCAGAGGTTTGGAAGCTGCCTCACAGAAGTTTATTTCCTTCTAGGCTCTCAATTACCTCGGTATACAGCCAACAAAGGAACAACATGAAGCCCTGAGACAGCAAGTCCAGGCCGACTCAAAGGGGACTGTGTCTTTTGGAGGTAATGTCTTAAGTGCATCATGTTGTGGTGGACGTTGTTGTGACCTATTTTTATTGAGGGCTAGTTTTGTAGGAGGGAAATGAAAACTTATACTATGCTACTTCAGATTCCTTAATTAATACTTTCAAAATGGCCATCGCTACTAACCCAGCTGGGTCAGCAGAAGGGAGCCCTGTTATCAGAACCCATCAGTGCCACATACCGTTAGTCCATCCCACTCTCTTTGCATCTCTGCACGCTTTATTTTTTTATTATATAAACATTGCTTTAATAATGACAAAAGATAATGCAAACTATAGGAATTTTAATTTCACTACTATGGAGATTACATCTACTTATTTTTTTAGCTAGTGAGACAGGATGTTTTTGTCATACTGCATAATTATTTATTCTTAGAGATGGCATAATGCACCAAGGTTTCTACTCTTGGCATATTAATGGTTTCTGAGTAGCTGTTATTACAAATCTATATTTATTACAGCTTTTATCAATGTGCATTTATACTTTGAAATGTAGCGATCTCTTCCTTTTTTTTTAAAATAGGATAAATCCCACCCACTCCCAACACACATGGTTTGAAAGTTCCATATCTGTCACTAAGTTATTTTCTGAAAACTGTCTCATATCTGTCTATTCTACTACACAGAAATGTTTGAATATGATGGTTTCTCTTTAGCCTTCATAGCATTTGTTCTATAGTACACATAATAAATGCTACATTGTATTATTTTTAAACTTCTCTATTGAAATAAATTAACCTTATATTTTTGAAATGAGGAAAAACAGATATATGGGATTCTATTGCCTCTTGAAACCCTCCCCCAATACTAGTAACAGGAAACAGATATACATACTACCACCACAACAATGACCCCCCCCCACACACACACACAATTTATAAGGACAGAAGATGGGGGCAGAAAGAGCAGTAAATGAAATACCCCAGTGTGCAGAGGCAGATGAATCCAGGCATCTGAAGACAGAAGCCTCGAAGGGAGGCCAAGCTGGTGTGAAGTACCAGGTGTGACTATAGGCTTATCAGAGCTCTTAGAAGTGTGTGGTACGGGTATTTATCTAGGCTCTTTTCTATCTTTCTCAGTATAGCATCTACTATTCCAGGGGGAAAGAAGTATATTACACTGAGAAATTAAACCAGAGATATTGTGGAACAATATTTACTATAAGCAAGGGAACTTGGGGAAGTCTGTGTTGAGTTATTGCTCAAAACATGTACGCAGATACTCACTGACATTTGCATCCATGTCTAGAATTATAGCAAGGGATTTAAGGTGTGTCTCTGGAGAATCTAAACAAACAAACGAAAATGTCAGCAGGCCACCAGATTGTTTTTGTACAGTAAAATATTTCTGCCAGTTGACAAAGCAAATTGTGCATATAAAATTCCCAACCAACTTTTTAGTGCCTTATTAATTGTTAAATATAAACTCGAAATCAAGGGCTTCTGGAAATTTGATAAAAATCACATAAAATATGGAGCCCAAAACCATCAGACAAACAGATAGAGAAAAGGAAAAGTGATGATGAGACCAGAGATAACTTTAGATAACCTAATATTCTTAGAAAGATAAGAAAGGATAATGTGCCCATGAACTAAGAGCAGGGCTGTGTAAAGTCAAGCAGAGAGCATCTGCAAGGACCCTTTGAGATCACAATGTAATAGCTGCACTTACAACTTCTTGAGGATACACGGATGAATAGACCGTCACTGTCTGGAAGTTACCGGCTGTTCTGTACTTAACTTGCTAAGTGGCCTGGTGTCAGAAAGCCTGCCTTGGATCTGATTTGCTCATCTGTAGAGCAGAAAGACCTGCCTCAAAGGATGCTGAGGAATGGTGTGAGGATGTCCACTAAGCACAGACAGTTCCATGAGTGTTGGCTGCTGCTGCTATTCTCAACCTTTAGATTCCTTCAGCCTGTAAAGCCAGGTCATAAATGTCTTTAATTTTTCCAGAAACATTGAATGCATAATGTGAGAATTAAGGAATTAGATGTCTGTCATATGTGTTTGCTTTTTTATGTCTTGACTGAATTATGTGACAGTTATTCTAACCGAAGTGAGAGAAAATGGCTTCTGTATTGTTTGTATCCCATCTACCTCTCACTTTGGCCAATACTGTTCTGGGATCATTGGTGGAAGGGACACTGAAGCTCATAACTCCAACTCCTCAGTGAAGAAAGTAGTAGTTGTTTAGATGAAATGAAATGCTGTGTTCTTACCGAAATGTGTTCATTTTAGATTTCGTCCAGGTTGCCAGAAACTTGTTTTCCTTGCAGTTGGATGAAGTAAACATTGGTGTCCATGAAATCCCCAGCATCTTAGGCTCACAGGTAGAGTGTGCGCTCTCCAGCTGTTCTGACTGAATGTAAGGCACAAGTCTTAAGTGTTGTGAGTCGTATATGATGCCCTTTCTCTAGTTCTCACTGGCTTTTATTATTTTTTTAAATTATATAGTTATTACTTATGTGGATGTGTGTACTTGTAAGTGTGGATGCACATGTGAATTCAGGTATGCGAGTACATATGTGTACATATGTGTGGAAGCCAGAGATCAACCTTGGTTGTCATTCCTCAGAAGGTACCTACTGGTTTGTTCAGACTATTTCTCTCATTGGCCTTGAGTTCAAGTAGGCTAGGCTAGCTGGCCAACTAGCCCCAAAGACCTACCTGTCTCTCTCTGCCCAGTGACATCATCCTGACTGAGTTTACCCGGGTTCTAGGGATTGAGCTCCAGTTCTTAGGCTTATGCATCAAGTAGTTTACACACTTAGAGACCTCCCCCACCCTACAGTGGGACTTTTTTTTTTTAGCATAGTATACAAATAAGGGCTGGGCATATAACTTAATAGGCAACATACTACACAAGCGTTGAGACCTGAGCTTGGGTCTCTACTACTCACTTACGAAGTAGGACTTGGACATCCCTAATCATGTTTCTCAGTGGGCACACAGGATCTCTAGTACCTCGGTGGCCAGTTGAGCTGCCTTAATAAATTCAGTGAGAGACCTGGTCTCAAAAATAAGCTTCATAATTTTATCTTACTGAAAGCGGTAGGTCTTTATACTGCTCTGTGCTCCCAGAGGGTGCACACATGTCTGCATGCACATGCAATCTTTTATATTTTAATATACCTTCACTAGCTCAATGGCTGGGCCAATCCTGAACCTCCACATGGCTAACATACTCCCCTCCTATATTCCTGGGTAAATACTTATTAAATCTGTATTTCATCTCTGCTATCCCAGACCCAATCTGGGAAGTTGCCCCTGGGGCTGCTTCTTGAACTCTTACATGGCTGGATGTTTTCTCCCTTGGAGCTCTCAAGTCCGATCTCTCCTTATCATGGTGATTCTGCTCTTTCTCCTCCCCTCCTCCCTTGCCCAGGAAATCTTAAAAGTCCCGCTTCTGTCTCCCTGCCCAGCCATTGGCTGCCATCAACTCTTTATTTCACCAATCAAAGCCAACTGGTGGCAGGGACCTTCAGTGTCTTAGAGGCAGACATGCCAGTTCCTGTGTAATTAATTTTGATTAATACAAAAAACATTAGAGTCGGGGCTGGAGAGATGGCTCAGCGGTGAAGGGCAACTGACTGCTCTTTCAGATTTCCTGAGTTCAATTCCCAGCAACCACATGGTGGCTCACAACAGTCTGTAATGGGATCTGACACCTTCTTCTGATGTGTCTGAAGACAGCTGTATTTGTACTCATATACATAAAATAAATCTTTTTTAAAAAAAAACAAATAATATTAGAACCAATCTCCAACATTTTACCATTTTTGTCCCATAAAGAAGACTCTTTACTCTCGACATAAATGGAGCACAACCATACAATTATGTAAATTATAAAGTATGATATACAGTTAACATCCAGTCCAGCATATTTGTCAATTTAGATGAAGTATTCTACCATCTATCCTGACTTAAAGAGTTTACAATTTCATACCTGAATTACATCCTGATTTTAACTTATATTACCATCTGAAAATCATCCTTTCAAATCTGTATCATCTTTCCCAATGTTAAACAATTAAGTTTGATTAGGAGACTATAGCTAGTCTTCTACCCCATCAGAAATCTGAGAACAAATTAAATATTACCTGGATATATAGGAAGCACAAAAACATGGCTTCCAAAATTTAACCAAATTGTATAGACAGCTGACTACCTGGACAGTCCCCTGTTCTTCAAAATGTTGGAGCATCTGTCTTCAGCTTTCTGGCCCCGGATCATCTGACAGACCTTAAGTGAAGCAGGAACTATGAAGGACTAGCTTACTCTGACTGGCAGAGCTAAGCTGTCAACTATCCCATATTGTATGTCCTTTGTTGGACCATATTTTTTGTCTGTAGATGAATTAGGGCAATTTTTGTCCAGTGGCTACCTTGCCATAACTGGAGCAACTCCATATGGAGGTTATAATGTTCAGTATCTTTGAACTGTGAATTGGGTACTGTCGAGAACAGACATATCTCTAGTCAAATGATCTTTAATAATGAATTAATATTAAATGTCATATTCTGTGGATTTCTGATGTTTTTGAAACCTGTCTGTCTATATAAAGTGTATCTGAACTGTTAAACCTTAGCTACTCTTAGCTATTTCTATCTGAGTATTATTGAAAATACTTTACTATAAATAAATCAGAATCTAATATATCCATGAGTTTACTATCTGGCCTTTAACTTGTGTAACTTAATCATCCTAAACTGTTTGGAATAGCAGCTATAGAAGGACTGGGTCAAGGCCTTGTATTCTTAAATGAGTTGTATTGGCACAATGCCTAAGAGTAACTATTAATTTCAAATTTTGTATCAATATACAAATATTTGTACCAATGAAAACCTTAAATCTATATCAACATATAAATTCTGTACCAGTGTAAGAAATTATAACTTCAATTTTGTATCAAGATTGTATTATAAAGATTTCTATCAGATTATGGCTACATAATGTTTTGATTAATAATAAATTTAGCAATTCATCCCATCTATTGTCTCCTTGTTCAAAACTATGACCATTTCTAAATTATCTCTTAGGATGACAACCTATGTATAATTTATATAAAAAAAAAAAAAACGTAACCAGACACCCAAACCCAGGGGATTGGGATGATGACGATTCATGACTTCTTCCTGCTAAATAGGGGCAACAAAAATTCTTTAAAGGGTTAGGGAGGGTAAGGAATTAGAAAAATTGGTTAGACTTATGAAGGCTAGTTTTAGCATCTGTTATCCAGTCGCTGTATGTTTAGAAAGCTCAGGATTTGACTAAAGTTCTGAGATCTCTCTGAAAGGTTGGATGAACCAAGTCCATCAGGAATCGGCAATTCCTGAAGCTGTTCTGGAGGCAAGTCTCTGGACAGCATCACAAAGCAGGGGGCTGGAACAGCAGGTCATTTCAGTGTTTTCGCAGATGAATCTTGCCAGTTACAAATTCTGTAATATATGAATCTTACAGCCAAAATGTTAGTACTATTAAGATATTCATACAGATTGGGCAAAGTGCACAGATCCGTTAAGGACAAATTTTCTTCCTTATTTGAACAGGTGAAAGACAACTATCTTTTCATGAGTTAATTTGATCAATAACCAATCGCAACAAATCTTCATTCATGCTATGTGAAGGATGGCACAATGAATCTTAAGGATTTTACAACCAGAAAGATTTATTGTCTAATTTTAGCTGAAGTTTTGGCTGGAAGCATTTTCATGTCTAAGACAAGTTATAGGGCTCTTCCCATGTTGAGGAATCAGCAGATCAAGTTACCTGTCCTGTTTTATTTTCTCGAATTTTTCTTTTCTATAGCCAAAATCTTCAGGGGGTCTTCCCCTGTCATTTTTGATCCATATCACTCTGGAAGGGGTCCAAAGCCTCTTCTTTCCTGTTAACACAAATACAGAGCCTCTCTCCCAAAATAGCCTGCCCTTGGTCCAGTAACCCAAAATCATTAAAGGTATAGATTGATTTGATTTAGTAGCTTGACTTCTCCCCCAGAGGATGTTAATATTATAACCATTAAACTCATAACTACATGCATTCTGATAATTAAAACAATTCAGAGCAATTAAAGCTATCTAAACAAATATTCTCTATCTGAGATAAGGTCTCCTCATCCCCTGCTCATGACCTACAAAAGATCAAGGCCTAAGTTATTTGTTCATCTATGTATACTTAAATTCTCCCTTTTAGCAGATTAATATCTCTATGGGTATATATGTCACCTTCCTCTTTTTATAACGTGAATTAACATAAGATTTTATTATCTGTCTGAGATTAGGTCCTTCCCCTTATCCCTGCTCCTGACCTACAGTTTGATCAAAAGCCTCTATTTATTCATCTGTCTGTTTAACTTCAAATAAATTCTCTTCTAGTCACTGTATACAAGCCTATTTTTAGGCTTCTGATTTATCATACCAGGCTTAAAAATCCCAGAATTTCCTTGTAGACTACATTCAAAGAATCTGAGTATTTGCCTCGGCATAGACCTTTTTAAATTTTGTTTTCATTTAATCTAATTTTTATTTCTGTATATTTGTTTTCTACATTTGATATCAAAGACCTGGATTTTTTTATTCTATGTATATTCAAAAACTCTTAAACAATTACCATTATACTCCTTTCTATCCTTAAAACAATTAAATCAAGTTTTATTCATCTCTATTTATCTGGTTGTCATCTGGCTGGATGTTTTCTCTCCTGCAGCTTTCAAGTCCAGTCTCTGTTTTCCCACCATAGTGAGTCTGCTCTTCCTCCTCCCCTCCTCCCTTGCCCAGGAAATCTAAAAGCCCAGCCTATGTCTCCCTGTCCAGCCATTGGCTGCTATCAACTCTTTATTTCACCAATCCAAGCCAACTAGGGCAGGGACCTTCAGCAATTTACAGGCAGGCGTGTGCGGGTTCCCATGTAATTAATATTATATTAATCAAATAATATTAAAACCAATCTCAACATTGCACTAAGATACAAAAGCTGCCAGAGCTCAAGTGTGGTTGCCCAAACTTTCTGAGGAGGGGTTAGTCACTAGGTATGTAGATGTGTTCTTTGTTCTAGTCTCTCTTCCATTCATTTGTTTCTTTCTGTTAGTCCCTTATTTTTAATCTACTTAATACTGTGGTCATTGTTACTAATGAGCTAAGAGTGTTACTAGCTTCTTACTTTTGATCTGAAAAATGACATTTTAAGTGATTTTTGTCATGATATGAAATATTGTGGTACTTACTCTATTGAAATTGTATTGAATTTATAAAATGGTTGGTTATGAAATAAGTGACTACTTTTCCTTATCATGGTTCTTGTTTTGAGAAAAGTACATATTCCATGTGCATCT